TTTTATAACGTTGCAATTCTTGATAAAAATAACAGTAAATGATAAAAGCGGTTGAAAGATAAAATTTGCACATAAGTTCATATTGTATTTAAAATCAGATAAATAAGCCAAATATAACAGTTGAGCGACCGTGCTAGAACCACGGAACTCGGGAATGCCTAACACCTTCTCCCGGGTTAACAGAATTCCTTATCCGGATTTCTGGTACGCAGACTGTAATATAGAGTCATTCATTTCCTCGATTCGGGATTAAAATTGGTGACTTGGGACACCTAAATCTCCCAAGTGGCGACTCTGAAATAAATAACCAATCCCGTTTCGATTGTCCTTTAATTGGAAAAAACTCCCCTGCCCCCTTTTGGGTGCGGAAAAAGGAGGTGTGACAGCAGTAACCACCAACAAAATACAACCAGCGAATGGAAACAGCATAAAACTCAATGAAAATAGCACTCAAAATCCGAGCCAAAACAGACTCCGGAGACTCAGTTGAGGCTAGACGGAAATAGGTGTATCCGCAATGACAATGGAACAACTGTTTCTGGTTTTTGGATACTCAAAGCAAGAAACCCAAGTTTCGAATAGAAAGAGGCAGTTAATCCTGATTTCAAAACAAAAGGCAAGAAAAGAAAAGCTTTCAACTTCTTTCTTTGTTCCCAAATCTCTTTTTGGTCGTAAACCTGCTCTCTCTTTCTGGTTTTTAGTTCTTTTTCTTCAGTTCTTGGGTTCTGTCTTTTTCTGGTTTTTTAAAACTCTTGGTGTCCCAAAATGTTATGTCAAAAACTCTCTCTCTGTTTTGGTGTCTCCCCTTAGTTCTGAAAACCCTTCCCTTTTTATAGCCAAAAATGACTTCATTCCACAGCCTGTTCAAGCCCATTAAAACTGACCCCCCATGTTCTCTTTTCTGTTTTTCCACTCACGATTCAAAAGAAAAGTATTCGCCATGAGATTCCCCTGACAACCCTCTTTTCCTTATTATAAAGGTTTATCCTTTATTAATTTAAGCAAGTATGGACAGCATGAGTATGTCCTGACAGCACATGCTGTCCATTCTACTTTAATTCATTAAAAACTACAATGCACATGTTGTCCAAGATCTAAAATGAGTAAACATGCCTGCAATCAATTCAAACTAAACTCTAAAATCTATATTAAAACTGCAGCTATAACCAATCCTTAGATGACTTTGATTCAACTAACAAACTACAAATAGTTATAATCAATTCTCAGCTGATTCAAACAATGCCTCAGTAAACAAAATTAAACAGCATAAGTCAGATTACTACCATTCC